CCCCAAAGCCCCAGTAGATAGTTGTATGTCATAGTTGCACATCCTTCTAGTTGCTGTATGTGGGACGTGGCCTCAGCATGGCCAGAGAAACGGTGCATCGGGGCATGCCCGGGATCCGAACCCAGGCCGCCAATAGCAGAGCGTGCGCACTTAACCACTAAGCCACGGGGCCGGCCCCAGTAGAGTTTAATTCTCTCACCATACCCAGGCTGTTGGTATGGAGTCAGAAGTTTGAGTCCCAGATCTGCAACTTGATTAGCTAGCTATCTGTCTTAGGGTCTCTTAGCCTATTTCCTTCTAATTTCACCTTATCTAATGGTGATAATAATGCCAACCTTTAAGGAGTTTTGTGAGAATTAAATCACGTAATATATGTAAAGTATCTTACACATACTAGGTACCCATTAAACAGCAGGTAGCTACCATTTATAACTTGGGTTTTATAATGCTTTATTTGAAAAGTTACTATGAGGAAGACAGTCTGTGAATGTATATCAGCTATTTCACTAGAGAGCCAGCTTCCCCTATCCCCACACCACCTCCTCAAGGATTCCTTATCAGAAATAGAACTTCCACCCCTGACCTAATCCCCAGTCGGATTAGCTAGACTGATGTTTTAGCATCAGACTCAAAGATAACAGCCTTACAGAGACTGCTTAACCAGTCTCCACAATTGGAAAGCTTGAATCCATTTAACAAATCCCTTTTAATACGGTTCTGCTTCTGTGATTGAACTCTGATTGATACACCTCCCAATATGGATAGTCAAGCCTTGAGATTTATCTTTTCAGTAGCTCAAACTTTCCTCCTCTCCATCCTTACTACCACTGCCCTCATAACTTCATCACTTCTTGTCTGAGTTACTATAATCATTTGCTAATTTGTTTCTTTGCCCCCAACCACTCTTGCCTCCTCCCTCCAGTCCATCTTTCACAAGACTGCCTAGTGAGTTTTCCAAACACAACCTATCACGCAGTTCCTTTAGTTGATGTCATTCAGTGGCTTTACTATGCCTTTATTCTAATTATTTTTGCCATCTATGTGTTACAAAGTTCAAACTAGAAGTAAACATATATCATGGAAAATCAGGTCCTTTCTTTCCTCTCAGCTCCCTTATCTAGAGGCAACTTCTGTTACCAAATTCTAGAGATAAAATTCTATACAAACACTATGCATTTTTTTTAAAAAGTGTACTCTTCTATACCTTGGTATTTCCACATATCTTGGAAATTGTATCTATCAATCAGGATTCTTTCTTATAAATTGAGTACCTGCTTTAAGTAATTTAAAAAGAAAAGGAATTAAGTAGCACACAGAACCTTCAAGAGTGACAGTGTCCCAAGCTCAAGAGCCACAGACAACATCCTAATCACAACAGGGGAGAAAGGTGCTGTGATAATGTCACCAGTGCTACTTACAAACATCGGCACTGCAGTCTATGCTAATGACAGTGGCAGCTAGACCCCAGAAACTCCAGTGCTGCTGCCTCCCAAAAAAGCAAGATGCTGCTGCTCTGATCCTTACCAGAAGATCTTCCCTGGCCAGGACCTGCATCTGATTGGCAAACCTGATCCTTAGCTGCAAATGAGGCTGGAAAACTGGCTTCCACCTTTGGAAGACTAAACTCATAATCAATATACCTCATTCCCTTAATTGAATGTGGAATAGTAAGTTGCATGGCTACACCATAATTTATGTACAAAATCCTTATTGAAGAATTACCTAATTACTTTTGTAATTTGCTAAATATGGATTCTTTTATTTTTCTTTTCTTTTTGTGAGGAAGATTAGCCCTAAGCTAACATCTGATGCCAATCCTCCTCTTTTTGCTGAGGAAGATTGGCCCTGGGCTAACATCCATGCCCATCTTTCTCCACTTTATATGGGACGCTGCCACAGCATGGCTTGACAAGCGGTGCATTGGTGCACACCCAGGATCCGAACCTGCAAACCCCAGGCCACCGAAGCAGGGTGAGCGAACTTAACTGCTGCGCCACCAGGCCAGCCCCTAAATATGGAGTCTTAATTTTTTTCCAAATACTCTATTGTAATCTACCCTATCCAGTCCTCTCTTTTTCTTAAGATCCTTCTACTGCAGACCTGATTCTCATGCACCAATTTTTATCATCTCCATGCTAAACCTGCTGCACAGCTGGTCTCTTGGGGCTTCTCTTCATCACTCAACGGGATTGAATCCAGCTTGGAAAGTAACAAGTAAAACTGTCTTTATTTTCAGTTGACATAATCCTGTATATAGAAAACCTTAAGAAATATCTACTGGAACTCAAAAGTTTGGCAAGGTCACAACGATACAAGATTAATATACAAAAACCAATTGTATTTCTCTATACTAGCAATGAAAAATCCAAAAATGAAATTAAGAAATAGCAGGAAAATAAAGGACTTAGCAACTTTAACAAAAGAAGTATAAGATGTACACCAAAAACTAAAATATTACTGAGGGAAATTAAAGAAGCTCTATATTAATGGAAAGACAGTCCATGTTCATGGATTGGAAGACTCAATAGTGTCAAAATATTAATTCTTCCCAAATTGATCTATAAATTCAATGCAATCAACATCAAAATTTCAGTAGACTTTTTGGCAAAAATTGACAACTGACCATAAGGTTTATATGGAAATAAACAGAACCTAAGATAGCCAAAATGATTTTTTTAAATAAGCACATTGGGAGGACTTACTCTTCCTATTTTCAAAATGTAATATAAAGCTACAGTAATCAAGACAGTGTGGCACTAGCAAAGGGATAGACATTAGGTCAATGGAACAAAACTGAGAGTCCAGAAATAAACCCTTAGGGCCGGCCCTGTGGCTTGGTGGTTAAGTGCGCGCACTGCGATGCTGGTGGCCCGGGTTCGGATCCCGGGTGCGCATCGAGGCACCACTTCTCCGTTCATCCTGAGGCCGAGTCCCACATACAGCAACTAGAAGGATGTGCAGCTACGACACACAACTATCCACTGGGGCTTTGGGGGGAAAAATAAAATAAATAAAATCTTTAAAAAAAAAAAAAAAAGAAAGAAACCCTTATATTTATAGTCAATTGGTTTTCAACAAAGATGTCAAGGCATTTTAATGGGGAAAAAATAATCAACAAATTGTGCTGGGATAATTGGATATGTACATGCAAAAAGATGAATTTTGACCCTTACCTCACATCAGACACTCAAAATGGATCATAGGCCTAAGTGTAAGAAGTAGGCAAAGATTTCTTATATATGAAACCAAAGATGTAATTCATATAAGAAAAACTTAATAAATTGGACTTCATCAAAATTTAAAACTTAGTCTACAAAAGATACCATTAAGAAAAAAAGATAAGCCATACATAGACTGGGAGGAAATATCTGTAAACCATATGTCTGATAAAGGACTTGTATTCAGTATATATAAAGAACTCCTATTACTCGTTAATAAGATAACACAATTTAAAAATAGGTAAACAATTTGAATAGATATTTCTCTAAAGACGATAAATGGCTGACAAGATAATGAAAAGATGCTCAACATTACTAGTGATTAGGAAAATGCAAATCAAAACCACAATAATGTACCACTTCACACCCACTAGAATGGCTATATATCAAAAAGAAGACAATAACAAGTGTTGGGGAGGATGTGGAGAAATAGGAACCTTCACACATTGCTAACGGACATATAAAGTGTCCAAAACGTTTCCACTTTGGAAAACAGTTTGGCAGTTACTCAAAATGTTAAACATCGAGTTATCACATGACCCAGCAATTCCACCCCTAGGTATCTACCCCATAGAAATGAAAACATGTCCACACAGACTTGTGTTCAAGCAGCATGAGACTGTTAATAGCAACATTATTCATAATAACTAAAAAGTGCAACTAATCCATTGTCCATCTACTTGTAAATGGATAACCAAAAAGGAGCAAAATACTAATACATGCTACAACATACAAGGAACCTCAGAAACCTTATGCTAAGACTCCAGACACAAAAGACCACATATTGTATGATTATGTCCAGAAATGGCAAATCTATAAAGGCAAAAGTAAATTAGTGGCTGCCTGGTGTTAGGGTGTAGGAATAGTGTTTAATCACAGAGGAAGAATCTTTGGGAGATGATGGAAATGTTTTAAAACTGAATTGTGGTAATGATTGTACAACTCGATATTTACAAAATCTTTGTACACTTAAAATGGATGTAAATGGTACCTCAATATCATTTATTGTATATAAATGATACCTCAATAAGGGTGATTAAAAAAAAACTGCAGTCAGACTTCTTCCTTCCCTCTATTCTTTGCAGGGTTCATACCTTCATCATGGTCTGATGGCTCTCCCAGCCTC